CCCTGCCGTTTCCTTGCTTCTCCCCTTCCAGGAATAGAATTGTTCAACCTTCCAACTTCTTGTGAAGGTGGAAGACTATCTTTTAATCAATGCAGGAAGCAGAGTGAAGAAGTTAGACATGAATAGGAGTGTGGTAAAGGGGTCTTACGTAATAAATGTTAGCTGGTGATAGATTTTTAGCTTTGTACCAGCACTGAGATGCATCAGTCATTGCCAATAGTTTTATTCGATGCCATTATTCTCTACACTTGGCCATTTTTTGCATGTTTTTCACAGTGGACAACTTTTTGGCTTTTATTGCTGAGCCCCGCAGGAGAGGAAATCGAATTACTGGGCTATTATGAAGAAATTCCCATTACCCAGGCTTCACATTCGCTTGGGGAAGTTTCAGTCCCATGTGCCACTCTGTCTTCTTTCTTAGCCAATAAAATTATTTTTTAAGAGTCCAATAAATATATCTAAATAAATATAATATCTAAATAAACATCATCTCAGCGTTTACATGTTTGCTCTTCCTCAGAGAGGTAGAAAAATAAAACAGCTTGGAGAAGTGCCCATACTGGCCACACTAGGAGATGCACACCAGAGTCTTATGGTCAAGAGCCATAAGAGACAGGACACGTGCATATTCTCAGAGAGCTCAAGGAAAGGACAAGCTTGAGAGCAGCTGACCCACCAGCAGGGTCCCACAACATGGGAGCTGGGCCAGGTAAGCAGCTGGCTGCAAGAGTGTTGTCACCAAAGGTCTTCACTTCAGTAGCTCCTACCAGCTGCTTTCCACTTAAGCCAGAGACCTAGCAACTCCCTGCAAGAGTATGTCACATCATTAGTCATGTGAGATAGCCCCAGCTTGGAAGCTACAAGGAAACCACAGGCAGCGCAAATCACTGTTCACTTCCCCACTCACACGGTTTAGAAAAAGTCACTTCATTTCAGCTACTTCACAAAGTGAGCTTGAAACAGAGAAAGTAGGCATACAGATCTACAGGAGAAAAATGCCGTATTTGGCAGTATCTGTTAATAAGGGCTAGTCAAGATTTTTTTCCCGTGAAAAAGGTTGCCGGAAGAAAATGCTGATTTCACAACACCTAAATGCTTTTCAAGAATGTATCCATTTCATTTAAAACCTTGATGGGAAAATTACTAAAATGAAATATTTTGATAAGGTCAAAACATTTCATTTTGAAATGTATTTTATATTTTCGTTTAATACATAGTAGCAATAATAATAATAAAAAGCCAATTTTCCAACTTTATCAGAACATCAAATTTCTACCTTATCAAAATATACTGCTTCAAAATAGTTGAGATGGAGTTTTCTGGAAGACTGTGCCTTGCAGAAAATTCTTAGATTTTGACTTTTGTTCCCCTTTAGAAATGAAGCTGCATATAAAGTCTGAATTTTGTACGCAATAAGTTCCATTTGGAAGACAGCTCTAACATCGTGTTCACCTTTTGATCTTTAATGTATTATTTCTGAATCATATGAGCTGTTGAACAGTTCCTGACAGTAGATGATGAGCTTGCATCAGACCTGAAGGGTAGAATTCATTTTGTGATTAAGATACCTGGATGTATCAGTCATCATTTTAAAATGGATGCTCTCAAAATGTGTTGAATAAAAATGTAAATATCTATAAACAAATTGTAAGACTATTAGACTTCAAGATTCCCCAAAAGGCAAGGTCCCTTATGATTACTGGGAACATAGTGAGTAGCTATATGACCCAGAATCACGATGTGGCTTGAAACATAAGTAGTAACGAATGAACATTTACCTTGGATTTTTCAAAGGATTCTACAGGCAGTAAGTCCCTTGATCAGGTACCTATCAACTGTTGGTTTCTTTGAGAATACTCGCTTAATTTTGTAATGCACAAAAGTTTTAATTGGCTTGATGTAAATCATTGCAACAATACTGAAATTTTGAAATGTTGGTGGTGTGTAGACTACTGCTTTCAAATAGTGAGATTAATAAACTCTTAAGTTTCTACCATGCAGCCTTTTTCCTCTGAAATAATATTTGTATCATTACACTTATATTTTCCATTATTTGTTATACCCATTAATTTGCTGAAGCAGAAATTCAGGGTGCCAATCAGAAACCACAGTCTGTAGTTCAGCATAACACAGGCTAATAATGTCACAGTGCTGAGGTTAAACTCTCTTAAAATTTTGGCCCTTAATTTTTTCTTGTTTACACAGTGCTGATCTTGAAAACACTGCTGCGCGTGTAGTGCATAAACCTGAATGCTCCTCAGATGCACACAGCAATAAGCATTTTCTACTCAGTATAGCAATTTATTTCAAAAGCAGACATTTGTTTTCTTCCCCTTCATAAAATACAGTTTTCAAAGTTGTTATGTTGCAGAGGTAGATGAGGAAAGAAGGAGAAGGTAAGAGCATTTCCTTATTCTTTTGAAAACTGTGAAGAGGGATGCTACTCAGGGCACCTACAGCACTGAGGATTGAGTAACTCTGTTGAGGGTTATGGGTACGGCAGATATAAGATGCTATTTCCTCAGGACTGCAAGTATCCCGTGAACAATCCCAGTGGCTATCACAGTTCGCTGTCACTCCCAGGAGAGTGTGGGAGATTATTTCATGTAATACAAACCACTGCACAGTTCATTTCATGGTTTCATTTCAAGCAGAGGGAAAGCTAAGTTTTACTTTGTGAGAAAACCATGCCCTGAAATTCAGGTTGCGACAATGTAATAAAAACACTTTGTTTTGTTTCTGTTAGGTTTCGTCTTTGGAGTTAGTTTTTATGCCACCTAAATTGGATGACTTACAGGCAGCAGAGCTACTATGGTATATCATGTAAAATCGTACGGAGTTGTTCATGATGTCCAGTCATACCTTAGTGGGCAAAGTATGCTTTGTTAGGAGGAGATATTGTATGACAAATTATATATCTATATCTTTATATGTATGCATGAATAGATAAGAGTTTCAGAATTCAACTGATGTTTTTTCATTGAAAGAACAGCCGTCTGGAGAAAAATCTTTTCCTCCCTAATGAGAGCAAACTGAATACTGAGAGGAAAAAGAAAAAAACCCTGCAAAGCAAACAAAAAGAAGCAAAAAAAAAAAAAAACCCCAAGAACTAATACTGTTCTTGAGTTGGAGGGATAAACCAGAGACAGGAGTGCAGTACACCTGTCACCTTCTGCAAGGTCCACATGGAAGGGATACAAGTTAGACTGGGAAAGTAAACTGATTCAGGCCACTGATTCTCCTCATGAAGGCTCAGCTTTGGAGTTCTCAACATGAATGTTCAGCTGGGGAGTGTCATTTTGTGGTAATTTTGTTTCATTGATATCAGCGAAATGGAACATCATCTTGAGAAAACGAGAAAAACAGAACAGGGTATCTCAGGCACTTCTCCATTTGTTGATGACCTTTTTTTTTTTTTTTTTTTAAGGAGAAGTGTACCTTGCTACATTTAATGACTTATTTGTTAAGAGACAAGAGCATGTTAAGATAGGACACAAAATCTTGGAGCCTGATTGTCCGCTGCTTTATCTGTCACATAGTAATTGGTGTGCCTTGTAAATTGGGTCTAAAACATTCACAGTTTGGAGCTGCTAGTATTTTATAACTGCT